TTTTATTTTTTTTTGCAGCTATTTTGAAGGGGAGTGTTTCCATGTGCTCTTTCTCTGATTGCTTATTATTGGTATATAGAAAGGCTACATACTTTTTTAGATGAATTTTGTAACCTGCAACTTTACTGAAAGTGTTCATCATTTCTAGGAGTTTTCTGGTGGAATTTTTGACTTTCTTACATATAATATCATATCGTCTGCAAAAAGGCATAATTTGATCTTATCTTTTCCAATTATTACTCCTTTAATTTCTTCTCTTGTCTTATTGCTCTTGCAAGAGTTTAAAGCACTATGTTAAAGAGAAGTGGAGATAGTGGACAACCGTGTCTGGTTCCTGATTTCAATGGGAATGCTTCCAGTTTTTCTCCATTTAGAATGATGTTGGCTGTGGGTTTGTTATATATGGCTTTAATCATGTTGAGGTACATTTCCTCCAGTCCAATTCTCTCTAGGACTTTGAACATAAATGCATGTTTAATATTGTCAATGGCCTTCTCTGCATCTATTTAGATGACCATGTGGTTCTTATCTTTGAGCCCATTTGTATGGTTTATGAAGTTTATTGACTTATGTATTTTGAAATATCCCTGCATCTCTGGGATAAAGCTGACTTGATCATGGTGGGTGATCTTTTTGATGTGTGTCTGTATGCCATTTGCAAGTATCTTGTTGAGAATTTTTGCATCTATGTTCATTAAGAAGATGGGTTTATCGTTTTCTTTTTTGGTTGTATCTTTACCTGGCTTTGGTATTAGAGTGATGCTGGCTTCATAGAAGGAATTTGGAAGTTCTCCCTCCTTTTCTATCTTTTTGAATAAATTAAGTAGTACTGGATGTAGGTTTTCTTTAAATGTCTGATAGAATTCTGCTGTAAATCCATCTGGTCCTGGGCTTTTTTTAGTCGGGAGGTTTTGTATTATTGTTTCATTTTACTTTTGTGTTATGGGTCTCTTTATGCTGTTAATCTCTTCTTGGTTTAGTTTTTGTGGTTCCCATGCCTTTAGATATCCATCCATTTCTTTTAGGTTTTCCAATTTAGTAGCATATATATTTTTGAAGGATTCCCTTATAATGTTCTGTATCTTTCTGGTGACTGTTGTGATGTTTCCCCTTTCATCTCTGATTTAGTTGATTTGGAGATGCTCTTTCTTTCTTTTGGTTAACTGATCTAGGCATCTGTCAATCTTATTTATATTTTCAAAGAACCAGCTCTTGGATTTATTGATTCTTAGTATTGTTTTCTTTGTCTGAATTCACTAATTTCTGCCCTGATTTTTGTTATCCCTTCTTGTCTGCTGGGTTTGGGTTTCATTTGTTGTTACTTTTCAAGTGTCTTGAGTTGCAATGTTAAATCATTTATTTGTATTCTTTTTGATTCTTTAATGTAGGCACTTAGAGCTCTAAACTCCCCTCTAAGGACTGCTTTCAATGTGTCCCAGAGGTTTTGTTGTGTTG